TCACTAATGGGTCGGACAATGTCCATGACCGACCGATATTTTAAGGCCTACATAGCCGGATTAACCCTAACCCATAGTTAAAATTTATGTATTTCTACATACAGTGTCTTTTTGTTTTAAAATTATGAAAAGAAAACTCCTATGGTACTGATCCAGACAAGATGTCTAAAGAAATATTTCCAAATTTATAAACAAACTGTTAGGAAGTTTGCTTAATCTAAGGTTAACTTATCGGCTTTCGAACAATCACCCCCTGCATGGTGATTTTGTTTGTCAATGGGGAGTGTGTTGGACTTAAAAGGTTTTAACCTTTCATTGAAACTAGATTGTCTGCCCACATTTTGTGTTAACACATTATTAAGATAAAAGCCATAGTTGAGACTGCTTTCAGTACTTCATGATTTTACTATGTCTAACATCAGAGGGTCACATTTCATATTTACTGTAACCCTTTTAGATGCAAAGGACATTTTAGTCATCCAGAGGGGGAGGGAGTCTAAGAGTAGAATCTTCTGAGACTGATAATAGTAAGATGTACTAAGACATCAATGGAATGGGGGGGGGGGTTAAATTCCAAGTTTCTTTGTATGTCATGCTTGAAGTTTTCAAGGATGGATAGATCGGCTTTGATAAAAATGTCAATTTGATGTTTTGTGTGGCAACTTGAATATGGACATCTCCCTAATTGGAAACAGTTAAAGTCCTTTGTTTGTTTGTTCAAACTCATGAATACATTTAGCTAGCTACACCACCCACATGATCTGCTTAGTAATATATGTAACAACCCAATTCACTCCAATTAACCCAGTTTTCAGCACTTTCTTAAATTATGTCACCTTTCCTAATGCCGGACAAGTTAATTTGTGTGTAGCTAGATTTTGCCTATGTTTCATGTTGACATATTTAGATGCAATTTTCCCTAACACTCCCTACTTTAAGTACTTTAATTAATATTGAACTGTGACGTCTCATGCTAGACAATTTTACTTATCGACTGCATGGACTCATTTCACCTATTAACACCGAAGAAACAATTTCCTCTTAAATGTTGCCTACTTTCGGTTCTTTCTAGGGGTGTGCAGGACAGAGTATTTCTGCTATACAGCCAGATACAGGATATGCTGGATGGCTGAAAAATATCCAGCCCGATTAAGGGTATTATTCAAATAATTATATAAGGTTCAGGCATCATTTAAGGTTAAGTACTGGTAATAATTTTATTTGGTTAAAAAGTAAACAGTCTAAAACTAGTAAACATGCATCATTGGTAGCAAAAGCCTCGTTTACATCAGTTAAAAGTTCAAATCCCCATTTACTGTACAAACAAGCATAAAAAATCTTGAAAATACTGATCATATTTATCATATTTTTGCTTCAATGATCATGATATGATAACCTTATCAAATCATTTTCTAACCTGAAAAGAAGGCCTGAACCCTATATAAATAATATCCGGCATTGGGCAGCCGGATACCAGATAATGAATTAAAATCTTAATATCCGGCCAGATACAGTATCAGTCCATTGCATCCTATGTCTTGAAATGCCAAACAAATTAACTTGTTAAATGACTGTATAAGCTAATATATGCACCCTTTTATTGTTAACCCTTTGAGTGCTTACCGTATATAAACTTCAATGTGGTAACACGATGGAGCAATGTGCCCAAGTGCACCCTACTTTGTTATGTTGCACTTAACTAACACCAGACATTTTACTTTGTGAAATGCCAGACAATTTTACTCCTCAAGAGCAGTGTTCTGCTCACTAATGGTTATCCAAACTATCTGCCAATGTGCCTTGATAACCCATTAGGCCGAACTGCACCCAAATGGACCCGCCTTTGTTATTTTACTCTGTCAAACGCCAGACAATTTTAGTCATCAAGAAGAGAGTCCTGCGTGCTAGTGGGTTAAATGACTTAATTACATATGTTATATATAAACTTAAGCTGTTAGATTGTCCCATTGTATATTAATTTTTTACTTATCTTGACACAGGCTTGTATGTTGGATTGATACGACTACCTGCAAATATGGTTAAACTTGGCTATGTGATTCGAAGGTTGTGGTTCACCGAGCGATAAAGAAAATGATACAAAGATGGAATGATTGGATGCAAGTTATTTACAGTGTTTCATATGACAGGTATTCTGATTGTGGAAGATGTGGGCTTGCAATATTTTGACAATTGCATGGCTGTAAAGTACGAGACAATTAATATAGTACTCCATTACTCTAATTGCCAGAACACTGCATCAGAATGAGAAGTTGTCTGTTACAGTTCGGTTTAGTAAAAGTACATAGTAAAAGTACATAGTAAACTATGTAAAATGTAATTTAGTTAGTGTCAAATAAATATTTTGTCATGGATAAACTCTGTGCAAATGAGCATGTCTCTAATGTCATTTTACTTTTAATAAGAATATGTAGATGTGTTTTCTAATACACCTCCTTAGGTTTGCTGTGTTATTATAGCATCTTTTGTAGGTGTGTTATGTAACACACCCTTAGTGTGTTATGAAACACACCTTACAACGTGCTGTAAACATTACAGACCTGAATGGTGTGTTATACAGCACAGCTTTAGGTGTGTTTTAAAACACGCCATGGTGTGTATGAAAACACGCCATGGTGTGTATGAAAACACGCCATGGTGTGTACGAAAACACGCCATGGTGTGTACGAAAACACACCTTTATACAAAACACACCTTAAGGTGTGTTAAAATCTGGACAAGCCGAAAACACACCTTAAGGTGGGTTTTAGAACACACCTTAAGGTGTGTCAAACACACCTTAAGCTGTGTTACAAAACACGCCAAAAGCTGTGTTAAACACACCTTAAGCTGTGTTTTAAAACCCACCTTAAGGTGTGTTAAAATTTGGACAAAAAGGTGTGTTAAATTAACACACCTTTTTTTAGAGTGAAGAATATTCATCCTGCTCTAACCGAGAAATAATCTACTCAGTCTGTTTGAACCCATTAAAAAAAATAAAAAAATTAGGCTATTTAAGAATACGAAAAATTTAAGCGCCTGCCTTCCATGGTCAGTCTTTCATGTACATTTAAGTTTGCAAAGACCTAATATTAAATACTTGCATAATTTCGAACGTTCATATTTCAGGAAACAATGAGCTAAGACTTACATGTAAGATGTCTAAATCTACGCCATATCCCTTACAAACCTTAACGATAATTCGCTGAAATACAAGTTAGCCTAATATGTCATTAAGCAAACAAACGCTGGAGTTAATGTTTGATATGCCGATTTTCGCTAATTTTAGACACATTCCAAAATATGCTCCCCATTTTTAACATTAATATCTCCGTGAATTTTTAAGTTAAATACAACTGTAATATATCAAAATCTAAGTTAGTCCTTCCTCTATTTAATGCAAGTTATTTCTCTTTAAAAACTTTACTTGTTTAGAAGTTATTACGAATCAAACAGGAGTACTTTTTTTTGGGCCACCCGGTATATGTCTATGACACCATCCTGCATGTATAACAATACCAAGTTTTTAAAACTTTGAAACTTACTTTTGACTTATATTCCAGTGAAGTTTTGACTCTCCCACAAAATAGACACCTTCGGTTAATAAGAAAGACAATTCTCAAGTCCAAATACTTTGTAAAAAAGTGAATGAAACAGTTGAGTAAAAACTTGAACAGGTGCGTGTAGTGTTCTTTGGACGCAACTGATAAAAAAGTGAACACATGTTGATGAATATATATGGTAGCGACGTATTGCCAACTCACGTGTCTCTCATTGTTATCATTAAACTTTATTTTCACACGGAGTCCATTTCACAAAACGTGCTCATCCATGGAGCCGTGCACACTAAAATATCTACATAGTCCAATTAACAATTACAACTATACTATAAACAATACTAAACAAAAATAAAAAGAAAATCAGGACTGTTAAAATTATATGAATTGGAATATATACATATAAGTCTTGGTGTATCAGACAAGAAAAATATTGTGAGAGTTTGTTGTTTATATTTGCAGCACAATTGCCTTCCTTATTTTTAATTTAAGTGAAGCTCGAGTGTCATAGTTTTGAAAACAACACGTGAATTGAACAGGCATTTGTGGACTCACTTAACCTCTGCGACTCACCGACTCTTGTAATTTTGCTGCGATTTTAGGTGCGATTTTATTCTTCTGATGGATATGAACGAGTGAATAAGTTATGAATGTTGAGATGAGGGTACATACAGTACTCAGAACATTCATAACTCATCTACACAAAGATTGCCAAATCTAATACGTGCACAGAAAATGTGATAGCACTCGTGTTCACATGATGTAACCTGGGGCAATATAGGAACATCACGTGCACTGAGATGATGTTTCATGATTATAATGTTAAAATGATTGACAGTATACCGTATTTGCTCGTTTAAGCGTTAATCAACATTTAATCTATTAAGCAGCCGGAAAAATTCATTCTAGCTCCAAAGTTAGAGTAGAACCCAACAAACTCGAACTCCCGGCTAACCCGAACTAAATTCAATTTCCCCTGGATTTGATCCAATTTTTACCGTAATTTATTCCAACTTACGACCGAAACTATGGAACGATCTGGACAATAACACAAAGCTAATACCCTCCTTTAAACGTTTTAAGAACAAATTTAAGAAAGACATGTTAGCCAGACTTTATACTTATACACTACTTTTAACAATAGAACATTTTATACTAGTAAATTAATATTAACTATATGTAATAATTTTAATCTTGATTCTATAATAACTATCATCATTTCATGTGAATTAGTGTCCAAAAGCATCATTGAGGAACACAATATAATATGTATGTATGCATGTATGTATATGTATGTGACTCGCTTAACTTGAAGTCCTCGCCAACTCGAACAAGTTTCATTTTCCCTTGGTCAAATTTGTATAGGTAATCGCATGGGGATTTCTATCCAGATAATCATAATTTAATTGGTATATACAAACGTAATACAAGTCCATAAAGAGATAAGAGTTTCAACAAGTTGCGTCGATCATTATACTGATTTAGCTTATAGGTACTGTTGGTAGGGACTGTTCAACTTAGGTAACAGTAGTACAAACTTTGTAAGTTATTTAGTGTGCACTGTAACGGCTCACAATTGTGACAATAAAACGACAATACCTTATTAATTATTAACATAATAAGCGAAATCCAACGCAGACCCCGTTACCTCGAACCTTCGCTAACTTGAACAATTTTTCACTTTCCTTCGAGTTTATTTCAATGCCCTTTCGTTCAATTCTTTCTCCATAAATTCGGAAAAGTGCAATTCAAATAAAAAACTCATATGCAAACAAACTATACAATTATTAAATAGCACCGCCCTCAAATAAGCGCCGACTAAAATACGGTATACATCTTTATCGTCCAAACTACGTCTGCTGTACAGTACATCTGCGTTCAAACTTCAAGACTCCAAGCACTTGTTAAAAATCTCTATTTAGTATTTTCATTAAAAAAATTATGCACCATTTTAATGCGACGTACCTAACAGTAGGAAGTTTCCCCCGAGCGAGTGGATATCCATTCTCAGCTGAACAGGCAAAAATTTTAAATCGACTAGCATATATATAGTGAAAGATAAACGTAAGAAAGGCCGTATAAGTGTCCGTATGATGCGGTCTATGATTTAAGTAACAAGTTGTCTAACTCATTAACACTTACTGAATGAGCACGATATGAAGAATTATCAAGCAAGAAGTTTGTGTTTTGCTCTATTTTTGACTTATTTTAATTATGCTTGAATCATCTAAAATTGTTTATGGGTCTTCAACCTTTTCTTTACCTCAAAATTCTACCAATAAATCAAGCCGACTATTCCGTGAAATAATTTTGTAGTTCGCATCATTAATATTCTCTGCACGTCTGCATATACAATATGCGCATGCCCAGCTACAGAAGGAACTACCTATCTTCATGTATATCATCATACATTGATGACCTGACTCTCATGCCCCCCCCCCCCCCCCACCAGAGGCATCTAACCCATCTAACCCCTCGCCCTGATGGGGGACAACGAAAGATCGAACCTGAGGCCATGCGATTCCGGTGCAGCGCTCTAGCCAAGTGATATACAGTGTGTATCAAAATAATTCGAATCCAAATTTGGCGTGTAATAACGCAGAATATATTTGACAAATTCGGTTGGTTTTTACACCATTGTTAAGTTCATTTATTTATCTTTCAAATGACATGCTGTACGCATCATTTAGTTGGAAAATGAAGGAGTATTGCTTTGACAAAAAAGTCCATAAAAATCACAATTTTCCGCCTATGGGAATTGGACATTTTTTCTTTCAAAGTTAGTCCCACAAGGCTTTGAAATGCTAATCATCACTGAAAACTAAAATGCAAATTTAACGCGAATTTCTTCTCGTTCAACATGTTGAAAGCATAGGAGCTTAAATCTCTTTAAATGAACATGAATTTATGTAAATTTTGCTACATAACAGTTTGTTGATTAATTAAATTTGCATTATCTTTTGTTTGTACGTCTCACTTCGAATTCCCATCGGCGGAAAAATTTGATTTCGAGCAACCAGTTTTAACACACGATTTCTTGGTCATTTTTGATCTTATTGATATAAGAACGATATAATCGGAAACCTAATAGGCTATTCTTTATTGCCATATAAAAATTATATGGTTTACTTTAGTATTTTATAAACAGCAGTCTGTCAAATTTGGATTCGAATTATTTTGATACACACTGTACAGAGAGACAGTTATCGAGCATGGACTTGTGATTGGAGCTCGACAACTGTCTCTCAGTAGCTCAGTTGGTTATCTAGAGTTGGTTATCTAGAGTTGGTTATCTAGAGTTGGTTATCTAGAGTTGGTTATCTAGAGTTGGTTATCTAGAGTTGGTTATCTAGAGTTGGTTATCTAGAGTGCTGCACCGGAATCGCAGGATCGCAGGTTCTATTTCTGCCAGAGGGTCAATTGTTGCATTTTTCGCTCCTGGTTAGGTCTAATAAATGTATAAAAAATTCCACTTCCACAAATCCCTTCGACAATTAGTTATATCTCGTGAGATGCCCAAAATGCTTGAAGACAATCTATCCTACCTCGATGGTTCTCAGTATATCTCTAAAACTTGATCTCTGTTGCCGGCGATCTTTCTTTGCTCGATGTTTTGTGCCATCAGTCGCAAGATCTTTAAGAATGTCCAATACACCAAACTGCCGGGGTTCAAAGTCTTCAATTTTCTCTCGTCCCAGCTCACAGATAAGCGCGAAAACCTCGCCGGCTGCTATCCGTAAATTGACGTCATCCTGTTGCATTAACTTTATAATTTTACGACATTGTCTAAAAGAAAAATACGCGTGTATGAAATAAGTCATGCTTAATACTCAAGCAATTATTAAGCGGAAACGATGAAGGACAACGAGTCATGTTTAATGTTCAAGCATTTATTAAACGATTGGACAAACCCATTTATTTTGAGTAAAGTGGTATTTTCAATGTAAAATAAACTGATTCAGAATTGAAACATGAATAAATTTTAATGTTCCGGTTACCATTACAACAGAACTTCAACATACCCAAAATACGTTGGCTTACTTAAAAAAAACTTTCCCAGGGTCTATTCGTGACTACGACCTAGTCATAGCATATAAAAGGTCTATCTCTCTAGTGGTGCTTAATATTTGCCCGAATTAGGCCAAATCTTAACCCAACGTTTTACAATTGGGGTTCTCATTAGCCAGCGTGACTGCCGTTTTTAGGAGGTGGGGTTTGAAGCGCGGCCACGCCTCCTTAATTTTTCGCAGCCCGCGCCTCAACTCCTTAACACCCCCCCCCCCCCCCCCCCCCCCCCCCCCCAGCTACAAGTCCTATAAAGGGTTAGGATTAGGGACAGGCTATGCGGGCAAAAAGATGCTTTCGATTGCTTACGACTCGAGAAAAACTTGCATTCCCTCGGAAAAAGTTGAAATCCTGAAATGCCATTTCTTGTTCTTTGGGAGGCGACTTCAGAGGATATAAGACGTCGTACAAAATAAAAATGCACAAAAAGCAACACATGTAATTCAACTCATTTTCAAAGAACGCGATAAAAAGGCTTCGTTTTTCTTAAATAAAGAAAGGTAGACGGCGAACATTTAGGAAGTAGAGGCGAATATAAAGGGAGCAGACGACGTACTTCGCCTGTCACTGGCTTCTAATGAGTTTCTAATAACTTCTAATAACGTCGACTTACTTTTCCACACACTCTTCAACTAAACTATCGGGAGATATAGACAAAAGAAGGGCCCAGGAAAATAAACATTCGCAGAATAAATCAGACTTTGCAGCAGAATGGGTCGATGAAAACACGTTTTGAAGAGCTGTCACGCAATCAACCAGATCCTGAAACAAAATATATGAAATATAAGAATGACAACATTGCATATTCAAATTATTATACTTTTTTCATTTTGTATTCAACTTTCATTTTGCCACTGGCAAACTAATCCAGCAATTGTCTTTCCGTTGAATGTTGGATTTCATTCCTGAAACTGCCTCGTCCCTAAAGCCTGGTTCACACTGGTCGTAATTCATCGGCGATCTATTGTATTCTTTTCCGACAGACAAAGCATTTTGCACACCAATGACCACAGACAATGGAAATCCCCGATTCTTACGACCAGTGTGAACCAGGCATAAGTATTAATATGGATGGGCAACACGCCAAGGGGATGTTGGGAAGAGTCAAAGTCTCTTGTTCATTTACTGTACACACGTAAAAACGCACAACGTGCAACAAATCTGCTGCAGACTTACACCAATGTTGTTTAAACGACTTGTTATCAGGATGTGTTCGCACTGCTTGTTCCCAGCTTGCTGACAAATTGTCACAAGGTCGGCGACTCAACAGACTTGTTACGAGCTTTTCCAGCAACTTGTTGTCACTGCTGCAACTTAACAACTTGTTAACTAACAAACTGCGAGTGACAATCTTGTAGCAACTTGACAAACTAACAAAACTGTTACAATTTGTTACTTGTGGTTGCCAAAAGCCTGTTGCGAACACATCTTGTCGACAAGACGAGAGATTTTTCCGTGTGTAGTTCGTTATATTGCACGTGGGTTGTACGTGGGTACGAGACAGTTCATGACAGCTGTTAATTGTTTGGGAAGGGAAAGAAATAAATCCTATATATAACTATACAAAAATGTGAGGAAAAATATCGTAAGAAAATTAGTCTAGAGCCTTTCAAGCATTTTGATCTTTCAATTATTTTCCATGCAGTAAGGAGGGAAAAACATGTGATGACATCACCATCAAATACAGAAATCACAACAAAAACAGAAATCACAGTAAGCAAAAATTTATCGTGATTTCCTTTCGTCTGTACAACGCTCCTAGGACATTTATACAGTAAATGGCCTTAAACTGCCAATAACCCCATGTCAAAGCATGGGTAATATTTTGGGCATTCCAAGACGAAGTACAAGATATTTTTATAGTAAAAAAATCTAATCTTGGTTAACTCTTTCACTGTCAAAATTTCCAGATATGACATCATTAGATGAATTATAAATTAGTTGTCTTTTATTTTGTTGCTAAAATTATCTAATGGCGTCATATCCGGCAAGTGAAAAATTATGAGGCTGTAATATTTTTTTACCATAATCTTAAGATATATTACATTTCTTCTGAGAATAACCCAAATATTACCCATGCCAAAATTATAATTGCACTGTAAATCTACTCCAAAAGTGCATGTTATTCTGCAGGGCTCAAAATAACGGGAGATAGCCTACTGTAGGTCTCCGGTCAACTTGATTTTAGCTCGATCAAAATCTGTTTTTGACCGGTCATTGATACGCTTACACTAATAGTGAAACAAACTATTAGAAACTTGTTTCGATACATCATAGTCAAATGACTACGAATGGACCATTTGCATTATAAACTAAAATTTGATCTAAACAAGTCTAGACAAAAATTTCACCACAGCTTGAAAGAGCAACACAAAATTAATAATATTCCAAAGTTTCGTTGCGAAATGTTGTAAAATGCGAATATAGCCTTGCGAAGTTTGCCGTTTTTCAGTCATTTTGTATTACGCACGGGAAATTGACAGCCCAATCGGGTGTTGGGGCATCAATTTCCCGTTTGTAAAACAAAATGACTGAAAATTGCAAATTTCGCAAGGCTATATTATCCGCATTTTACAACATTTCGCAACGAAACTCTGGAATATTAATTTTGTGATGCTCTTTCAAGCTGTGATGAAATTTTTGTTTAGACCAAAATTTAGTCTATAATGCAAATGGTCCATTAGAGCTGTGCGGTTCCAAAAATTTTATCTCGGTTCCGGGTTTTTTGCAACAAAAAAACCTCGGTTCGGTTTGGTTATTTTCAAAAAAGAACAGTACAAAATAATGTATGAACTCATTTATGTATGTTTCGAGTATTTTTACTAAATGGATGAATTTATGCCTTTGTGAGTTTGTATAAATCTCTGAATATTTTAAAAGAACAATTGGAATTTATTTATGAAGATGAAATATTTCTTAGTTTTTAAAAAAATTTCATGCAAGTTCACAACAATAACTATCACAACTAAAATATATATCAACTATTTGAGCACTTAGTACAGTGCGTATTGTGCACAAAGAGCCCAATCTTGTTATTTTCCAAACATTTCAACCTGCAATCAGGTGGGCGTTTGGCGGGCGTTAAACGGGAAATTAAAACCGAAACTACCGGTTCTTTTGCGTATAATTTTTCGGTGCTAAAAAAGTACCGGAAGAACCGAATTTTTCGGTTAACCGCACAGCTCTACTACGAATCCAAATTCCAAACAAACTGCTGAAAAAAAGGATGAAAATATAGTATCTTATTAATCATCGTATGCACTGGAAAGGACAGTAGCAACAAACCTCGTGTTCTTCTGAAGCAAGAAAGCAACACAAAGCCAATGCACTTGCACACTATCAAAAATGAAAAGAACTATATTATTGTTCCACATATAACAGTCGCTTGAAGCAGTTGGGGAGAGGGGGTGGGACGTCCAATTAATTCGTTTACAAATCATACTAACGCTTGTATTGTAAAAGCTCACTCACACTCAACGAGTGGAGGTTCAATCTGAGCTTCTCTTGAGTGTCAATGCTGTTTTTGAATAGCTGCAGGGTGAGTAGTCACATAGTAAGGTACGAGACTAACGCCCGTGTTCTACAAGCTCACTCACACTCAAAGAGTGGAGGTTCAATCTGAGCTTCTCTTGAGTGTCAATGCTGTTTTTGAATAGCTGCAGGGTGAGTAGTCACATAGTAAGGTACGAGACTAACGCCCGTGTTCTACAAGCTCACTCACACTCAAAGAGTGGAGGTTCAATCTGAGCTTCTCTTGAGTGTCAATGCTGTTTTTGAATAGCTGCAGGGTGAGTAGTCACATAGTAAGGTACGAGACTAACGCCCGTGTTCTACAAGCTCACTCACACTCAAAGAGTGGAGGTTCAATCTGAGCTTCTCTTGAGTGTCAATGCTGTTTTTGAATAGCTGCAGGGTGAGTAGTCACATAGTAAGGTACGAGACTAACGCCCGTGTTCTACAAGCTCACTCACACTCAAAGAGTGGAGGTTCAATCTGAGCTTCTCTTGAGTGTCAATGCTGTTTTTGAATAGCTGCAGGGTGAGTAGTCACATAGTAAGGTACGAGACTAACGCCCGTGTTCTACAAGCTCACTCACACTCAAAGAGTGGAGGTTCAATCTGAGCTTCTCTTGAGTGTCAATGCTGTTTTTGAATAGCTGCAGGGTGAGTAGTCACATAGTAAGGTACGAGACTAACGCCCGTGTTCTACAAGCTCACTCACACTCAAAGAGTGGAGGTTCAATCTGAGCTTCTCTTGAGTGT